TTCTCCTCCTTCATGTCTCCTCTCCGATTGTAACCTTAGCATTTTCAATCGTCTTTCTCCTTTTTCTCCTTCTCCTTCTCCTTCTCGTCCTTCTCGTCCTTCTCGTCCTTTTTCTTGTTCTTCTCCTCTGTCTCCTTGTTCTCCTCCTCTTCCTTGTTCTCCTCCTCTTCCTCCTCGTCAAAGGTTGGGAGAGGACTAAATCCTCGAACAGCACAGGACTTGGAAAACTTCCAGGCACCTCCATCCTCGACATGTTCATCACGTGTGAGAAGAGGTGAACACTGCTAGCCAAAATCTCTCCTTCTCCTCCTCCTTCTTCTCCTGCTCCTTCTCGTCCTCCTCTGTCTTGATCTTCCTCATTCTCACCCTCAATGTCCAACCATTCTTTATCCCTACCTTGCTCTCCAGCCCCTCCTCCCACCCATTGTTTGCCTGCCCGACTTCGTTCCTGCCTCCTCCTCTTTCTCCTTCCTCCTTCCTCCTTCCTCCTTCCTCCTTCCTCCTTCCTCCTTCCTCCTCAACTCTTGACCGTTGGCTCCCCTTCTCACGACCTCGAGCAGCGGCAAAGTTAAGGTGCAGGAGATCTGCAGGGTCGTCGGACCTTTTCCAAACATTAAGAATGAATTGCAAGGAACTTGGGAGTAAGTACCTCATCCTCCTCCTCCTCCTCCTCCTCCTCCTTTCCCTCCTTCTGCTCCTGCTCTTCCTCCTACTACTTCTGCTTCTGCTCCTTCTGTTCCCGCTCCTCCTCCTGCTCTCTTTTTGTTGAAGCCATCCTCTCCTTTCCATTTCCCTCTGCCCTACTCTACCTCTCCCTCTTTTCCTTTTGTTCGTTTTGCTTCTTCTCAGTTGGTTGCAGCTATAAGACGGCAAGCTCCGGGTTCAAGGAGGGTGTTTCGTCCTCCGACAAGCTGGTCAAACTCCTCCATCTCGTCATCTCTTCCTTAATTCCTGATACTTCTCCCTTTTCATTTCGTTCTCTCCACATCGTCCTCTCCTCCTCCTTCTCCTTCTCCTTCTCCTTCTCCTTCTCCTTCTCCTTCTCCTTCTCCATGGCCCTCTGTCTTCACTCTCTCGCTCACTCGAGGGTCTTCAAGGTTTTCTCCTACAACATGCTCATCGACGGAAGGGACAAGGTTACAACCGCAGAGACAGGATTCAAGGTTTTCTCCTCCCTCCTCTCCTTCTCGTTACCATTACCTCCACCTTTTCCTCACTACTCACTGCTCGCCTTGGCCTTTACTCCCCGTGCTGCTGCTGGTTCTGGTGCTGGTGCTGGTGCTGGTTCTGGTGCTGGTGCTGGTTCTGGTGCTGGTCTTCCTACTTCTCCTCCTCCTCATCCTCCTCCTCAACCTCAAGCTATACGCACAGGTCCGCTCGGTAGACATTAACGTGCGATATATCGACCAGGACGTGATGATTATGAGCCTCGGTCAGTCCATTGTAGAATAGATTGAGCGGGAGGCGAGGGAGAGGAGAGGAGAGGCGAGGAGAGGAGAGGAGAGGAGAGGAGAGGAGAGGAGAGGGGAGGGGAGGGGAGGGGAGGGGAGGGGAGGGGAGGGCAAATGAGAGGGGGGGAGGGGAGCTGAGAGATGACGATGATGCAGGGGAAGGTCTTGATTCTCAGTTGGTGTGGGAGAGGGAAGACAACCTTGACAAGGTTCTGCCTCTCCTTGGGCCTGATCACCCCATCTCATCTCATCTCTTCTCTTCTCTCGCTAATCTTCTTCCTCCCATCTCACTCCTGTTGCTGGCCCTTCCCACTGCTTCCCGTCGTCCCCTCCTCCCTCACTGCTTTCATCTCACGTCTGCGCCTCAACAGGAGGTCGGCAAGCTTCTTCGCCGCGATTTGACCAAGGTGAGGAGGAGGAGAACTAGGAAGAGAAATAGGAAGAGAGGAGGAGGAGGAGGAGGAGGAGGAGGAGAACTAGGAAGAGAAATAGGAGTAGGAGGAGGAGGAGGAGGAGGAGGAGGAGGAGGAGGAGGAGGTGGTCTGAACTCATGTAGGAGGATGTAGCTGGAGCTGCTGCGCCTGTCAACCCGATCGTCGCCATCGCTGAGATGGCGAAGGTGTGAGAGAGCAAGTGACTTGTCGCTTCATCCTGACATACTTCACTTCCTCAGCGATCTGACAAGAAGAAGCCTTGGGAGTTCTGGAAGTAAAGCAACAAGGTCCTCAGCTCCAGCTCCAGCTCCAGCTCCAGCTCCAGCTCCAGCTCTTGCCCCTGACCCTGCTCTCCCTGCCCTTTTCCTCATCCAACTCAAACATGATCGGCAGTGTGCCATCAGCAAGAAGACAGCGAGCTACGAGTTACAAGTTATTACAAAACAGAAGAAACAGCGTGTCTGATCGCTTTAAATCCGCATCCTCCACCGCAGGGTGTACCATCCTCCTCTCCTCCTCTCCTCCTCCTCCTCTTGATATCCTTCACTCGCTCATGAGGAGCTCTCAAACCAGTAGCCGCCGATCTGCTGTGGGAGCCCCTGGCAGTAGTGCATCGTAGGACAGCTGCTCGTGGGGATCAGGTCATTGAAGATAAAAGGCTTCTCCTCCCCCTCGCATCCTCCCATCCTCCTCCTACTGCTATTCCCCATCCTCTTCACCTCTTCTTCCCTCCTGCTATCCCTCCTCCTCCTCCTCCCTCTCCTGCTTCCTTCCTGACCCTCTCCAAACCACTCCCTTCCCTCAATCCTTCAGCTCCTCCTTACCACCCTCCCTCAACTCAAGTCCCCATGCTCCCTCCCTCCCTCCCCCTCTCCTCCTCCTCCCACCTGACTTCAGGAACGGCTCGTCCGAAGTTCCCGATGTCCATGGGTGAGCTGACGAGGGCAGGTCAGCAGGAGATCAAAACGCCTTCTCCTTCCTACCCCGACGGATCCTTGATACACTCCGTGTTCGCCCCCCAGGGCCCGGAGTTGAGCGCACAAGACCATCCTCGCGTTGACTCAGCGTTCGGAAACCGAACCTGGAGGACACGGTGAGGCAGAAGAGAGAGCGAGGAAGTAGGGAGAATGAGGAGCAAGAACAACAGGATGAGCAGGGGGAACAAGCAAAGGAAGAGAAAGACGAAAGAGGATGAGGGAGACGAGGAGGAGGAGGAGGAGGAGGAGGAGGAGGAGGAGGAAGCAGATTACCCCTGGGAGATCAGGCTCGGCGCCCAGGTCTTCGAGCATTGAAAGCGTTCGGACTAATGCAAACTGAGGAAAAAAGTGAGTGCAATGGTTGACAGAGCACATCTTCAAGAATCACATTATTACAAGCAAGCCATTCACATGTCACTTGACGTCACTATCATCATCAGATGCCCCTATCATACACAAAGAAGACCAGCTGGTCCTGCCTACAACACCCTAGCATCTCCTTCACCTCATAATGCATCACCCATACAACAACTCCTCTACAGTTAGCTCACTTCGTCTTCATCTGTTGCAAGCATCTGACCGAATCTCTGCCAAAGGCTCCTCCTCCCTTCCTCCCCCTTCCTCCCCCTCGTCGCTTGCTCCTCCTCCTACCCCCCATTCCACCCGCCCCCCTACGCCACCGTCCAAAAGTACTCACCATGACCGCCACAAATAGCCCTCCGCACCGAACCCCACCCTCCTCCATTCCTTCTTTCTTCAGGGAAAGTACCCCTACCTTTGCCCTGGTCTTGATATGGGGTTTCCGTTACAAAATCGACTCTTCGTTATCATTTCATCGCCCTCATGCATCGAGGACACTGTTGAGTAAAAAGTAAAGTTGACAGGGTCCCTCACAACGGCTCGCAATGCGGCAAGAAGATGCCTGCTAAGAGCATGGCGCGACGACGACGAAGAGACGGACGGACGGAGGGAGCAGAAGCTGGAGGAGGAGGAGGAGGAGGAGGAGGAGGAGGAGGAGGAGGAGGAGGAGGAGGCCCTGTGCAGTGCCAACAGGCTTACTAACTTCGGACGGTGACTCGACTGCAGCCTGTCAGTGCGGACGACGGTGACCGCCCAGCTTCACTTTGTGATGCTAAAAGCGCTTCACGTACAAGCATTGAGCCCTCCGGCTAGCAAGTACCTTTCAAACATCCAGTACGGTCCGATCAGAACTTTCATTTCATCTGCTACACTCCGAGTCAGTAGGTGCTGGACCAGGTTGACCATCTAAGAGCCGCGCTTTTCTCGATTGCTGTCCGATCCTGTCAGCAAAGACGAGAGACACCGGGCAAGATTGTCAGCGAGCCATGAAGGCGGATGAGGATGCGATGCTGAGGTAGACTTGTACTTATGCTGATGACCGACCTTACACTCTCGTTCTTCGTTCTTTCAGGCTGAGCCATCGGGTAAAGAAAAAATTCCTCAGGATCGCGGACGATGGTAGCAAAGGGGGCAAGAGGTACTTGTGTACCACAGGAGCTCCTTTCTTTGCCTTCAACACTCCTTCCCAACCTGCGAACTCCCTCACCTCCTGCTGCCCATCTGTCCTCCTCCTCCCTCTTCTTTCTCTCCCCCTCTCTTCCCTCTCCCTCTTCTCAACCCGCCCACACCAACTTCAGCGGGAGTGACAGGATCATTTGCTGCAGGTCGGTGGAGGCCGCAGCGAGTGGGGTTGCTGCCAGAAGGCAGTGGAAGCAGAGCTCTTTGACCATCGACGAAGGTCCTGACACTACACGCGCTCTTGAGGAGGGTGATGGGGAGGGGGCAGGGGACGAAGTGGACGGGGACGATGATTCAAGAGCAGCGAGCAGGATCAGGTGATCTGAGAGTTCGGGAGTTTGAAATGGCGTGAAAGCTCAAGTCGCCGCTACAGGCTGTTTCTCCGGAGGCTCTCAAAGGTCAGCGAGACGGACTCGCTGTCGATCTGCACAGATCAAGATGAAGTGAGAGTGGAGGAGGAGGAGGTGGTGGAGGACGAGGACGAGGACGAGGACGAGGACGAGGACGAGGACGAGGACGAGGACGAGGACGAGGCGTGTGGACTGGCCTGACCCTCCTGGCCCTGCAGCTCAACGAGATGGGAACCTACTCGCAGAAAGGCAACCTGCCAAAGATCCAAACCTCAACCCCATCTCGGGTAAGGGGAAGGAGCGAGGGAGCGAGGGGCGAGGGAGCGAGAGAGGGAGCGGAGGGAGCGAGGGAGCGAGGGAGCGAGGGAGCGAGG